TCATCCAAAGCCAAGCTTTCAGTATATAACACTAACACTGCCATTCACCACCGCAAGCCGCCGTCTGAAGTTCACCTGCAGTCGCGCCCAGCCGCGCTCAGTCCGCCCCTGGTCGTGTCTAGGCATGTTCCAGCCTGCACAGCCCATGCAAAGCCGCGTCGCAGCCCCAATTGCCCGGCGAATCTTGCCTAGCGGCGTGCAACCGCGTTCCAGCTCGCCACCGCGCATAGACAGCGTCCAGACGCTCTGCCACAAGACATTCACGCGCATTGTCGAACGCCCAACATCGAGGAGAACGCACGCCTCAATCCTCGAAGGAAGAGGAAATGTGCCGCAAACACCTGCCTCCCGAAGTCCTCGTTGCCCTAGTCCGCGGAGCCTTAGGAGACATGCCCTGCACGATGCCGCCCAGCGCAGGATAGCGCGCAACATCCCGCGCATACATTAGCCACGCCCATCACATCCAAACGATGTCGTCAGACCTGCGTTCAGCCCGGCGACCTGTGAGCATGCCCGTGAGCCTGTACGCGTGAGAGCCACTTACCAGCGTGCCTAGCAGCCCACGTTCATGCCATCTTCCACCCTGCGTACGAGAACTCGAGCCTAGCGAGCCAGCACTCGACAGCAACAAACCAGACCAGGCCCGAACCAGTCTACCCCGACCCAGACCTGACCAGACCATATCCAGACCAGTCCAGCTCGGTCTAGTCTAGCCCAGAAGCATCGATTCTAGCCTAAGATGGTTTCTGAGCAATTCGAGCAGTCCGACTAATCTACCGAAGGTCCGAGACAACCCAACGAGCCCGATGAGCAACAAGAGACGTCTGTGAAGCTAAGTCCAACTGCCCAACGGACTCCGCGGTTGTTTGTTATGTTTTTGTGTGTTTTTATTGTTTGCTTAAGTCGAGTATTTTTAGGTTCGGTTTGTGTGTTCCGGTCCATTTTTGTGTTCGTTTTTAGTAGCCTTGCATTTTGAGTCATTTTTATATATTTTTCTATCTTCCTTGTGCGTTTTGGTGTTTGGTAGGCCCGGAAGAAAGGAATCGATTAATAGAGTTGAGTTTCAAGTCCAACGGAGTCCCGTGCGATGATTTAGAGCTTTTTGAAGTCGAACCGGGACAAAATTCCAAGGCCAACACTTTATTTCTTTGATCCGCGCGCAAGAAAGCGCATTTCGTGACTTAAGCTCATTTCGCGAGCTAGCAGCAAGATCAGAGACAGAATTTCGAGCCTGCGAAATCGCCTTCTATCCCGTGAGTTTTTCACCTATCCCGCGAAAACGACGTAATCTGCAAATTCTCGAGCTAAAGCCGCAAGTTCCCTTCTCCTAGCCCACGAAAATGCCGCAACCCGCGAGTTCTTCTGATGTTCGTCTAAGCTTCGAGTTTCAATGCCTAAGCCGCGAGTTCTCGTCTTCTATCCCGCGAACGCCACTCAACCTGCAAGTTTTGCCCTTATCTGCGAAATTAAGCTGCGAAAAATAATACTCTATATTGCGAGTTGATGTACCTTGCGAGTGTTCTCTTTTTAATGTGCATTTTTGAGTGTGTGTTTGTATGGAGTATAAATACTTTTTGGCCTTTGCATTTTGGGAGGATCTAGCTCATTATGAAATGTTTCCTTTTTTGGTTCTTAGATTAAGTCTTTTATTTTCTCTCTAGAGTAAGGTGGATGCTCTTTACATTTTTCAGCGACTTTTTCCGGAGACTTCTCGTTTAGGCAAATTTTAAACTTTTTCTTCCGATATCAATCGAGCATGCATTAGGGATGTGAGTATTTACTTTTAAACCTTATAATCTAGATTTTCGTACTTACTTGCTATCTCGTGCGTGTTGGTGTTATATACTTAAGCTTTGCTTTAGTGGATATTACACTTGTTATTCCTTGATGAATGGGATTTATGTTTGGTTAAATAAGTTCCACGTTCTGTTGTTTTGCATGTAGATAAGTGGGTCTTCATCGGGCGTACCGAAGATCACTATATCAGTTACTTGCGAAACAAGAATCACTGG